GGGGAGGGGGGAGGAGGTTGGACACTAAAATTTTATTTGGATAAGATTGTCCTTTGTGAGCTTTGTGTTTAAAAGCATGCAGGGTAGCAGGTTGGGATGGTGCAAGCCTATCATCCCAGCACTCAGGAAGCTGAGGCAAAAAGAACTGAGTTTGAGGACAGCCTGGGTGACAGGAAGACTCCATCTCAACAAACTAAAAGCAAGGGCTGCTGAGAAGGGTGAGTGCAGAAAGGCCCTAGCTGTACAGAGGTAGCAACCCGAGCATTATGTCCAGAACCTGCAGAAAGCGGGACAGAGAGAACCAACTCCACAACGTTGTCCTGACCTCCACATATGCCCTGCGGTATGTGTGCTGACTGACAGACAGACAGACAGACAGACAGACACACACACACACACACACACACACACACACACATCAAATTTAACAAATGAACAAAAGCAGAAATGGAACAAAACAAACATACACAAAAAAACCTGTAGGCTGTATTACATAGGCTTTTGATAAATAAAAATATGCAAAAACTATGAATATTTATTTTATTTAAAAGGTTATCTTCTTACTGTAGTATATAAATTAGTGATTATGCAGAGCAATATTATCAGAATAAGAAAGACCTTAGCAGCTGGGCATGGTGGGATACATCTTTAATCCTAGCACTCAGTAGGCAGAGGCAGGTGGATCTCTGTGAGTCAAGGCCAGCCTGGTCTATATTGTGAGTTTCAGGACAGCCAGGGCTCTGTGGAGACTCTATCTCAAAAACCAAACCAAACAAAGAAGCCCTCAGGACTCCCCTACTGGCAAGCTTACCATTACCCTCTTCCAGGGCTGCATCGTCCTTTTACAAACTGCCCACTTCAGAAAGCTTTAGACAGCCATAGACACATTCCAGCCACCACACCCAAGAGGTAGCTAGAACTTAAACACACCAGAGGAGCCCCCACAGTGTGGCAGGGCAGAGCAACACTCCTGAGTAGTCCAGGAAGCAGTTCTGTTCCAGGCTGTGGAGACACTCTACTTGGACAACCTAACATTATAAAGTGACTAAAGGAAGACAGGAAAAGAAAAGGGATTTCTCGAAAGAGCATTATGTAGCATTATTAATTTAAAGTTTACTAGAAAGTAACTTTTGAGTCCAGCAGAGACTAACAGCTTGAACCACAGGTCAGTTTTATCAATCACTGGTCTATCATTATCTCTCGGCTACAGGATTTGATTTATGTGATTTTATCTGATTTTAGAAACAAGTGTCTTCTGAACTGCAACAAAAACGACTGTGTTCAAAAGCCTTCAAACAGGAGCCAGAGGATTCTTTTAAGGAATGCTATTGCTCCACAGTGCACTCCACTTGAAGCAACGGATTCTTGATTTCTAAGTTAAATACATCATTCTTCAAAAAGGCCCCTACTGTTTCTCAAACAAGCCCTGCTCAGGGCCTGGGACAAACCCCAGACATCAACACAGCACACACTAAAATGAAGCCATTTTCCTATGCTGACTAGATAGAATGAAGAATGCTATTCTACTTGAGACCCTTGAGGAATTGGCAGAGATTCTACAGTGGTCTGAATGCTTACTTGTTTTTTAGGCAATTCAATGCTCCATTATAAGAGACACCCAAGAATTTTAATAGCAAACAATTTATATTCTATTAACTTAGGATAAAAGCACCAGTATAATTAAACTTATTATTATTCTATGGGTAACTTGAACATTTCCTCAAAAATCAACCTTGGTTTCATTAATTATCTATTAAATTATAATTTAATTTAGCAATAATAAAAAAGCAAAGCAATCAAGGAAAAAAAGCCAGCCAGAAAGCAAACCAACACAATAAGGAAAAGTATCCTGTCCCGTGCACTTTCTTCAAAGGCCAGAGGTCACACTCAGTGGCACTCTTGGGGTTCCTCTCACTGTGTCTTCAGATGAATGAAATCTGCCTTCTCACCTGGAGAATAAAACTTGAACCATTTTTGGGACTACTTCCTGATTTTTTCAAATTAAGCGAAAAATCCAGGAATAAAATTGGAAAGGAAAAAAAACCAAATAGGTCTAACCCAATAAATCATTGCTATGTGCACTGTTTTCAGCAGGGGATGCTAACTTAGGCTAGAAGAGGGACACTACCTACCTCATGGGAGATTCGCCGGTGTTCAATGTAGGCCATAAACTGTGAGCTGAGACTGCTGGTGTCCAAGCCTTTGGGCTGCCTCACATCGTTCTCCTCTTCTTCTGCAGTACAGCTGTCAATGTAGTCAATCTGATCCAGATCATGCTCCACTGTAACCCCGGGGA